TACGTCCATTATTACTCTAAATACATATGGGCTAATTTGCACATGCACAAACCATGTATATCTGATTTGAGCACCAAGGGAGAAGAAGACTCTAAGCAAAAATTTAGGCTACTTGCAAGCTGTTGTCACAGATTTGCTACAAATTTGCAAGAGGGAATTTACCATGCAATTGACATACTGATTTTAATTTGAAAGACTTTGAAGGCTTCTTGCAAACTTGCTGCAAATTTGAAATGCTCTTGCAAATCTTGCAAAAACCTGCAAACACTCTCTTGCAAACTGTTTAGTTTGCAGCAAATTTGCAGCAAATTAAATCATTTTTGTTCCTTGGCAGAACACTTTATTCCTATCATTTCAGAAATGTCTTCAAACCTGCTTCAGGTGAAAAAATGTGGATACCTTAAGAAAAAAAGCTTATTTCCAGCATTTTTAATATGACTAACATTTCAGCAAATGCTTATTACAAACCGAACAACACAACATAAGTATAACAAATGATGCAAGACCTCCACTTATTACAACACAGGATAATCAATGTTAACGACTTGTGCCATTTGTGCTGCTCAGGCAACCATACTAAGACATACACGACTGAATAGAGCATGCAGACAAATTGTAAATTCTTCTTACTGGAAAGAGGCCATTCCAAAGAAGATCAAGAGTGGATATGTGCCCTTTTCCTTACCTCTTAGTCCCTTGACCAGCCCACCCACCACTCCGAAACCCCCCAATACTTTCAGATCTACCTTGAAAGTTATAAGTCATACACTTAAAAAATATTTTTAAAATAAAATCGTAAAACATATTTGAGTTGACCCCATCCACAGACTGGTAAAACAATAAAAAACACTTTTCAGACTAATTTTTCCTTCATACTAAGTATATTCCTTAAGTTTGATATAAAATGAAAGTGTCAAGTATCAGACAGTGGTGAATAGCTGACTTTAAGATGCATGCATGGTGCAACTCCAGTTCACCTTAACGGGCAACCTAAGACTTGATGAGGCGTGGTAGCTAAAGCAATTAATGCAAGCGAATACCAAAGGGAAGGCTATATGAAGTAAAAGAACAAATACAAAACATCAGCGCATGCAGTCTTATTTGGAATTGAGCTGCATAAATAGACCCAGTTTTTCTCCTTTTTTTGTTATTTTCACTCTTATTTTGGATCTCTTTGATTAGTGTGTAATTGAGCCGTCATTTGGTCAATGAAGCAGCTTCATTTCTGCTTCCCTAACTTATTACTTAATGCTGCATTTGATACTACATTGTATCTCTATAAGTATGAATGTTTTCCTATTGTAACGGTTCTTTTGTGAGCAACCTCATGAAATACCATGTCACCGTGTCCCCAAAAGTATGCACGTTACAACTCCTACGCCTGAACAACCCATTAAAGTGTTGTATTTCTAGTGTAATTTTTTTATAGTTCTCATCACATTACTGCTTTTAAAGGTACCTTTTGTCAGCTGCCTCTATCTTCCGCAAATGCACTGTAAGTGAAATTCTTCTCTGTCTGCCATCACCTTCCGTCAGCCAGGCAGCTCCCTCCGCTCTTCAGTTCCATCTCTTCCTCTGCTCGCTGCAATCTGACTCGCCAAACCCCAGCTTCCTATGCATATAGACTTAGCTGTCTGATTGCTCACAATCAAATCTCATTAATTAAACTGAATGCAAGTCCGTACAGTTGATCCGGGGGGAAACTATAGCTCGGCTAGCACTGTGTGCTATTATATTGATCTTATGGAACATCAGCTTATATATGGCATTGAGATCTGGTGGGTGCATATCCACACAAACCCAGCCCAGGTTAGTCTGGCATGCAAGGGAAAATGCACTGTTCTTGTCAATGGCAGCCACTGAATATATATTATAAGTTTGGTAACAAATATGACTACCATGCATTTTTTAGCATTTTACAGACATCCCCTATTTTCTTTTCACTGAAACATTTTGAGAATTTTAGTAAAACTTATAGCAGCTTATATACAGAGAATATACACGTACACTGGACATTTTTGATTGTGCATACCTTATTATTCACCCACAATAAAAAATAATTTATTCTGTTCAGAGAAAATTGGCTAGTTTTATCATTCCTTAGCCTATTTGTTAGTAATAAAATAAGAAAGATTCTCTATGGCCATGAACAAATAGAAAGTGAAGTGTATAATCTTCTTCATGTTTGCTTACACGACTTGATGCCCTTATACCCCCCCCCCCACACTCCATCCCACAAAAAAGCCTCACTTTCACCATCCATGATTCTAAGAATATCACTGCTGCACAGGCCCGTAGCCAGGGGGGGTTCCGGGGGTTCGAAAGAACCGCCCTTTTTGCTAGGAAAAGGTCCACTCTGGGTAAAATTTGATCTATGTACATGATGTTTTTATGGAAAAAGGTCCACTTTTTCAGAAAAAGAACCCCCCTTTTGAAATTGCTGGCTACGGAGCCTGCTGCAAAAACTGTTCACCTGCTGACGGGGTTTAAGACCCAACTTTCAGTTAATGTAGTTCTTGTGTGAACACTACAAAACTTATTACACCCAGTCTGCAAAATGGACTCATTTACTTTGGTCATTAATTTATATGGGAAGCTTTTTTCCAATAGATGTCAAATACTGCCAGGGCATAATGTGGCTGGGAAAATCTGAGAGAAAAAGAGAAAAATCAATACGGTTTACGAGTGCTATCACGGGAAGGACAGGTGGCCATTGCTGGGAAACCTAGAATCATGGAAATTGGTGCATCTGGACTCTTCCAATTTAGAATGGACTGGTCCTGCTTATCTGGAAAGGTGTTGAATGGGACAATCTTTTGTCATGACAAGAAAAAGAAAATTGCCAACTTGAAGGTTGCCAGGGCTAGTGCAGTATGATTCAAATTAGAGACAAAAGATGAGATCAGAAGAGGCCTAAGTAGTTTTATTTTGTATTTTTCTTTTTTTTTTTCTAAAAATATGGATCTAGGGTCCTTGTAACCTTTTCCTAACGTCATCTGTTCCTTTAATTTTGAGGCCAAGGAAACAATCTCTCATATGTCATTTTACTAAGTATATATATCCACCATTTACTTATTGTGGAATTGGCATTGCCGTCATTAATCTTTTTTTTTTTTTTTTTTTTTTTTTTGGGGGGGGGGGAGCTAAATTTCACATGCATAACAATACTGATCTACCCAAGTTATCAATTTGACCATATCTGTCCTCCATCACTTAAAACCCCGTAACCCTCCATATCAAACTACCAGTACCACCAAAGATGCATCTCAAGTAATGATAGGCACTTCCAATTTTAAATAATTATTCTTCTTAGCTCACTGACATAAGAAGGCTAATTCTACCCCTTAACCTTATTTTTGTTTTTACGCATCATGGAAAATACAGCAATTTAACTAAGATATCACAATAGATGAACAAAGATATCTACAATTGCAGGAAATGCATTACTAAGTCTTCATCACTTTGTTGAAAGGCTTCTGTTTTCTTTCTCATGGTCACTGATTACAATACACTCCAAGGAAACGTAATCTTGGTATTTTTCAACATACAGTAAATTCAACATATACATGTATCTCTATAAAGTACCTTTTAGCATAGCATGTTGATTTGACAATAACTGGTAGTATTTTGAATTGTTACAGAGCTCATGGAAATTCCTTTCAAATGCTTTTGTCTCCATTATCAAGAATTATTTGTTAAATAATTGAGAGCAGCTAATATATTCAGTCTTTAATCACGGGGTGGTTATATTATACTTTCAACCTTAACTGACTGGGTCTTAAAATCAATACAGCGAGACACTTTGATCATGTACTGAGTCATATCCTTTTATTTTCTCCTCCGGCGCTGAGCACAGAGTCTCTCTCTCTCTCTCTCTCTCTCTCTCTCTCTTTCTCTTTCTCTCTGATTCTGGATATTGGATAGCTTAAGGGAAAATGTAGAAATTTTCAAGTAAATTAATATCTTGCCATGCAGGTCCAAAGCACATTTATGCTTCTATAAAGACAATTAGCTAAGTTCAACTTTTTCAGAAATAAAATAATCACCCACCACAAAAGAAGATAATTACAGCCTATTTATTTCTTGACATTGTTCGTCTACTTTATACTGTGCTTCTGATAACAATTAGTTATAATAGGCTCTCAAATATCCTTTCTAAATGCAAACCACTTTCTCTTCAAAATGAAAAAAATAATGAGTCTGCACCATCTCAGATGCCAAACACAATATCAAAACAGCGCATTAAGTTTCTGTCGAGATGGGTATCGATTCTGCCCGTCCTACTGCATTACCTCATCATGCCTGTCACAGTTGCTAGGCAACAAAAGAAAAAGAAAAGATGGCATCTTAGCAGAAATGTCTATAGCTTGTATAATTTCTGAAGGGTGGTATGCATGCAGTTCGATTATTACTCACAAGCCAGGGATACGCCTTTTATTCTTCGTCTCTCTCAACATGACTGTACTTACATAGTTGTCTTTTCAATTATTCAAATATAACCTGACAGCTCAACAAAAAACAGCATGTTTCATCTAACAATGTCCAAAACTTCTGACAATAATATGATTGATTCTCTGCATACAAAATGTGTTTAGCATACTCATACACTGTAGCATATTTCTAGAAATCATATTGATAGGGACTGTTCAACATGAGAGAGAGAGAGAGAGAAGCAAGAGTGTAAAGTCAAGCACAAAATGTTGATATAACCAAACAAAGGTCATATTAAGTTACTATGTGACATTGGCAACCACTGTTTGAGGATTTAAGAAAAAAAATAATTTAAAAATTGTTGTCATATCTACCGTACATAACCTGTGACACACAAAAAAAAACCAAGCAAGTTTTTGGTGTTTGTTAGCAGATATTTCAGATCATGAGGACCAAGTCTCAGCCTTGGCTCTTAATAAGACATGAATTCTTTTAACTTTGAGAGAGAGAGAGAGAGAGAGAGAGAGGAGGCAATTGTTAAGGGAAAAGGGAGAGGGATATCAACTCACCCACTTTACTGGCTACCTTGTAAGCAGATATGTTTTGCTTTGGGTCCACATAGAATGTGATGAAGTTCTTTCCAAGCCTGCAAATAAAATATAGAGATGACAACATAATAGACTTTGAACAATTTCACAACTCAATTTTTATTACATCTGCCTTCAGAATTTCATACTTTTATTTATTTATTTATTTATTTATTTATTTATTTTTGTAAAAACCTAAAAGGTATACATTGTCAACAGTATGGAACACTGCGTTCAAATTTTCAGGTTTTGCTGATAGCCTTGTCTGCTGTTATCTAGGATTTTCATCAACTTTGTCACCATCAATGTCAAGACCGAATTCCCAACATCTTCTCTTTATTTTGAACAATCTTCTTGGGACTCTCGCTGAATAAAATCAGATTAACATGTCTCCTTTTGGAGTTAAGTAAATTCAGAAAAGCTGCTAATTATACAAATATGTTCGAAACAAGAGAGGGGATGTTAAACTGTCAATCTCATTTCATTCAGTGAAGGTCTCTGAAGAATGTGGATCATCTGCGTAGAATGATATGACAGTTTCATCGGGAATGAGTACCAAATCTTTTTTTACATGTGTATATATTGGATGAGATGACCTTCAGATCTTCGATAATCAAGATCTTGACATTTGACAAACTTTCAAAGAAATAAGTCCATTAAAGCATATTAAATTAACTCTAAGATAAAATAATATATCGTATCACTCCCAAGTAAATGTTTCAGGAGGCATAGGAACTAAATATCTTTTGTCTTAAAGACCTACTTAAATAATCTAGCTCCTCAGATGGCAAATTTGTTCCCATGCTGACGTAAAACAAGTTGTTCTTAGATTTTTCGATGTAATATGACATCTTTTAACTGGTTGAAAACAACCATGCAAATTAAGTCAGGACTAGTGGAAGAGTGAAATAAATTACAGAAAGCAACCTTTTTTAGATATGTTTACATTGACTTTTTGTCAATTAAAAACAGCAACGTTTATCCATTTTACATCTGTTCATCTTTACAGGGTACATTTCAATACAAGAAAAATGTACATGTGTAAATTGAAATTGTTGCTTTTGTTATTCATCATTTGTTATCCAAATTCCACGTACACCCAGAAAACATTATAGACAATAATGCACGGAACAAGCACATGCAATATTGACCAATATAAATCTCAGATCCTTTTTGCTACTGTTAAATCCCTAAGCTACACACAGATTGTGTAAAATGTCCGTTTACTCGGATTAGCACCATTCTCCATGCTGAGGATATTCTCTGACAGCAAGCTACATGTAGTAGCCACAATTGTCCATGGTACTAAGAAGTGCGTGTTTATGTGTGTGTGCGTGCATATCCTCAAGGTTCAGTTTTACAATAGAAATTTATATCAAGAGTAGGTCTAAAAGAACACAGAATACTTCCATTTTGACCTGCTAGTTATTTCAAAGGTGTGTGTGTGGGGGGGGAGGGGGAATCTGGACCTTTTTCACCCTTTTAGTTGACCCATCTTTAGGAATGACATTGAATCTCAATCAAATNGAGTTCTCAGATAATATTTCAAAGATTCAACTGGCAAGATTCTGGGCATGTCAACATTAATGTGATCAATTGCCATTCACTAATAAAAATTTTAAACAATCTTTTTTTTCTCTTCTTCCTTCTTTCTTTCAGCTTTTTCCTCCATTATCCTTTTCCTTCTGAAACATTTAATATTCTACTCAATAAAAGAGAAATACATTCTATACAGGAATCACTAATCTCTATCAGTGATCTAAATTCTTTTCACACTTATCTCGGAATGAAAAGAGTAATCTAATTTTTTTTTATTCCCTGCCTGCATTATATTTGATGTAATATTGGGCTTGGAAGGAAAAAAGGCACCAGCCAGCCCATGTTGATGTAGAGAAACCATGAATATTCAAAAATCACCGTTTCTGTATTGGGGTTCAATGAGCAGAATATTATACTAATCTGCAACATTACCCATCAGCCTAAGGCAATCACCATTAGAGACTTGATCTCGGAATAAAAATTATAGATTATTCAAGTGGCTGGGCAGGTTGAATTTGTGGAAATTTTAGTACTAGTAATTGTACTCATCTTCCATACATGTACATATTAGTCTATATAGATTACACCTTCGGACTGGTTTACTTTTATTGGGATTAACAGTTCCAGGGGTAGCCCCAGCAAAATTTTTTGCTTTGCCAAATGACAACTTTTGCATCCCTTTTCATCTCTAACTGGTTTAAATGTGACCAAAATGAGTCAAATCAACCCCATTTTGTTTAACCATGCAGTTAAAGTCAGTTTTAGCAATTGGCTAAATTGACAAGTGCTAGGGCTACCCCAGAATTCTACTAAGACTGTATTCAGAACAGTGGACTGACTAGTCCGAGGTTCAAATATGGCAGACCCACTTGAATACTTCCCCACGGGGAATTTATTCAGTGTGTATTAGCAGATTAGACGGCCTCAGCCTAGTTTGTCCACTGTTCTGAATGTGGCCTAAGACATCTAGAGTATCAATGATGACCAGTGTTCATAAAGATAACAGTAGAGACTGATATACTGGTCTCAGTCTTTTTTATTCACTAATAATAATAATAATAATAATGTTAAATNCGGGGGGGGGGGGGGGGTAGGGAGTTAAATTTCACATGCATGACAATACTGATCTACCCAAGTTATCAATTTGACCATATCTGTTCTCCATCACTTAAAACCCCGTAACCCTCCATATCAAACTACCAGTACCACTAAAGATGCATCTCAAGAAATGATAGGCCCTTCCAATTTCAAATAATTCTTCTTCTTAGCTCACTGACATAAGAAGGCTAATTCTACACCTTAACCTTATTTTTGTTTTTACGCATCATGGAAAATACAGCAATTTAACTAAGATATCACAATAGATGAACAAAGATATCTACAATTGCAGGAAATGCATTACTAAGTCTTCATCACTTTGTTGAAAGGCTTCTGTTTTCTTTCTCATGGTCACTGATTACAATACACTCCAAGGAAACGTAATCTTGGTATTTTTCAACATACAGTAAATTCAACATATACATGTATCTCTATAAAGTACCTTTTAGCATAGCATGTTGATTTGACAATAACTGGTAATATTTTGAATTGTTACAGACCTCATGGAAATTCCTTTCAAATGCTTTTGTCTCCATTATCAAGAATTATTTGTTAAATAATTGAGAGCAGCTAATATATTCAGTCTTTAATCACGGGGTGGTTATATTATACTTTCAACCTTAACTGACTGGGTCTTAAAATCAATACAGCGAGACACTTTGATCATGTACTGAGTCATATCCTTTTATTTTCTCCTCCGGCGCTGAGCACAGAGTCTCTCTCTCTCTCTCTCTCTCTCTCTCTCTCTCTCCCTCTCTCTGATTCTGGATATTGGATAGCTTAAGGGAAAATGTAGAAATTTTCAAGTAAATTAATATCTTGCCATGCAGGTCCAAAGCACATTTATGCTTCTATAAAGACAATTAGCTAAGTTCAACTTTTTCAGAAATAAAATAATCACCCACCACAAAAGAAGATAATTACAGCCTATTTATTTCTTGACATTGTTCGTCTACTTTATACTGTGCTTCTGATAACAATTAGTTATAATAGGCTCTCAAATATCCTTTCTAAATGCAAACCACTTTCTCTTCAAAATGAAAAAAATAATGAGTCTGCACCATCTCGGATGCCAAACACAATATCAAAACAGCGCATTAAGTTTCTGTCGAGATGGGTATCGATTCTGCCCATCCTACTGCATTACCTCATCATGCCTGTCACAGTTGCTAGGCAACAAAAGAAAAAGAAAAGATGGCATCTTAGCAGAAATGTCTATAGCTTGTATAATTTCTGAAGGGTGGTATGCATGCAGTTCGATTATTACTCACAAGCCAGGGATACGCCTTTTATTCTTCATCTCTCTCAACATGACTGTACTTACATGTACATAGTTGTCTTTTCAATTATTCAAATATAACCTGACAGCTCAACAAAAAACAGCATGTTTCATCTAACAATGTCTAAAACTTCTGACAATAATATGATTGATTCTCTGCATACAAAATGTGTTTAGCATACTCATACACTGTAGCATATTTCTAGAAATCATATTGATAGGGACTGTTCAACATGAGAGAGAGAGAGAGAGAGAGAGAGAGAGAGAGAGAGAGAGAGAAGCAAGAGTGTAAAGTCAAGCACAAAATGTTGATATAACCAAACAAAGGTCATATTAAGTTACTATGTGACATTGGCAACCACTGTTTGAGGATTTAAGAAAAAAAATTATTTAAAAATTGTTGTCATATCTACCGTACATAACCTGTGACACACAAAAAAAAACCAAGCAAGTTTTTGGTGTTTGTTAGCAGATATTTCAGATCATGAGGACCAAGTCTCAGCCCTGGCTCTAAATAAGACATGGATTCTTTTAACTTTGAGAGAGAGAGAGAGAGAGAGAGAGAGAGAGAGAGAGAGAGAGAGAGAGAGAGAGAGAGGAGGCAATTGTTAAGGGAAAAGGGAGAGGGATATCAACTCACCCACTTTACTGGCTACCTTGTAAGCAGATATGTTTTGCTTTGGGTCCACATAGAATGTGATGAAGTTCTTTCCAAGCCTGCAAATAAAATATAGAGATGACAACATAATAGACTTTGAACAATTTCACAACTCAATTTTTATTACATCTGCCTTCAGAATTTCATTCTTTTTTATTTATTTATTTATTTTTGTAAAAACCTAAAAGGTATACATTGTCAACAGTATGGAACACTGCGTTCAAATTTTCAGGTTTTGCTGATAGCCTTGTCTGCTGTTATCTAGGATTTTCATCAACTTTGTCACCATCAATGTCAAGACCGAATTCCCAACATCTTCTTTTTATTTTGAACAATCTTCTTGGGACTCTCGCTGAATAAAATCAGATTAACATGTCTCCTTTTGGAGTTAAGTAAATTCAGAAAAGCTGCTAATTATACAAATATGTTCGAAACAAGAGAGGGGATGTTAAACTGTCAATCTCATTTCATTCAGTGAAGGTCTCTGAAGAATGTGGATCATCTGCGTAGAATGATATGACAGTTTCATCGGGAATGAGTACCAAATCTTTTTTTATATGTGTATATATTGGATGAGATGACCTTCAGATCTGCAATAATCAAGATCTTGACATTTGACAAACTTTCAAAGAAATAAGTCCATTAAAGCATATTAAATTAACTCTAAGATAAAATAATATATATCGTATCACTCCCAAGTAAATGTTTCAGGAGGCATAGGAACTAAATATCTTTTGTCTTAAAGACCTACTTAAATAATCTAGCTCCTCAGATGGCAAATTTGTTCCCATGCTGACGTAAAACAAGTTGTTCTTAGATTTTTTGATGTAATACGACATCTTTTTACTGGTTGAAAACAACCATGCAAATTAAGTCAGGACTAGTGGAAGAGTGAAATAAATTACAAAAAGAAACCTTTTTTAGATATGTTTACATTGACTTTTTGTCAATTAAAAACAGCAACGTTTATCCATTTTACATCTGTTCATCTTTACAGGGTACATTTCAATACAAGAAAAATGTACATGTGTAAATTGAAATTGTTGCTTTTGTTATTCATCATTTGTTATCCAAATTCCACGTACACCCAGAAAACATTATAGACAATAATGCACGGAACAAGCACATGCAATATTGACCAATATAAATCTCAGATCCTTTTTGCTACTGTTAAATCCCTAAGCTACACACAGNGGGCATGTCAACATTAATGTGATCAATTGCCATTCACTTATAAAAATTTTAAACAATCTTTTTCTCTTCTTCCTTCTTTCTTTCAGCTTTTTCCTCCATTATCCTTTTCCTTCTGAAACATTTAATATTCTACTCAATAAAAGAGAAATACACTCTATCCAGAAATCACTTATCTCTATCAGTGATCTAAATTCTTTTCACACTTATCTCGGAATGAAAAGAGTAATCTAATTTTTTTTATTCCCTGCCTGCATTATATTTGATGTAATATTGGGCTTGGAAGGAAAAAAGGCACCAGCCAGCCCATGTTGATGTAGAAAAACCATTAATATTCAAAAATCACTGTTTCTGTATTGGGCTTCAATGAGCAGAATATTATACTAATCTGCAACATTACCCATCAGCCTAAGGCAATCACCATAGAGACTTGATCTCGGAATAAATATTATAGATTATTCAAGTGGCTGGGCAGGTTGAATTTGTGGAAATTTTAGTACTAGTAATTGTACTCATCTTCCATACATGTACATATTAGTCTATATAGATTACACCTTCGGACTGGTTTACTTTTATTGGGATTAACAGTTCCAGGGGTAGCCCCAGCAAAATTTTTTGCTTTGCCAAATGACAACTTTTGCATCCCTTTTTATCTCTAACTGGTTTAAATTTGACCAAAATGAGTCAAATCAACCCCATTTTGTTTAACCATGTAGTTAAAGTCAGTTTTAGCAATTGGCTAAATTGACAAGTGCTAGGGCTACCCCAGAATTCTACTAAGACTGTATTCAGAACAGTGGACTGACTAGTCCGAGGTTCAAATATGGCAGACCCACTTGAATACTTCCCCACGGGGAATTTATTCAGTGTGTATTAGCAGATTAGACGGCCTCAGCCTAGTTTGTCCACTGTTCTGAATGTGGCCTAAGACATCTAGAGTATCAATGATGACCAGTGTTCATAAAGATAACAGTAGAGACTGATATACTGGTCTCAGTCTTTTTTATTCACTAATAATAATAATGATAAATAATAATAATAATAATAATAATAATAATAATAATAATTCAATAAATTGTTTTAAAACACTTCAATAGGTTAAAGGAACTAAAAAATTAAAAAAGACAGTAATTTATGGCAGATTTCTTAAAACACTGATGATATGTCCTAGATCCTTTACTGATAAGGGCATCAGTAAGAACACATGCACTTCACATTGTCATGTCAAATTCAATCAAAAATTAAAAAAGAAGCCAAATTACTTCCCCTTCATAAGAAAATAATATTAAAAATAATACAAATTTCATAAATATCTTATTGCAAAAGAAATGAGATTTCTCAAATTTTCTGGGTAATGATGACATTGTTGTCCTGAAAATGAAAACATCTTTGATTATTTCTAATATCACAGTTTCATAATCTTAACAGAAAATTACGCGTTACTTCATCATGTCGGCCATTTCGAATGTTACAGGATATCCGTTAGGCTCCCCAAACTTGGATTTTAGGTGAAATTTTCACAAAAGTCAATAAAATTTTGATTAAAGATTTGAGCAACTTTCATAATGAAAGAGAAACTGTGCCAGAAATGTTATCCTTGCACTTTGACTTTCTTCCATCCCACCTCTTGCAAACTTAACATTATACTTAATGAAAAACATTTCTAAACATACTAAACATTTCTAAACAGTCAACAAATTTGGTTACTTTTGATGCATTCTCTTCATTCTTAGGTGCCATATCCTCTTGAAAATAAATAAATAAATAAATAAATAAATAAATAAATAAATAAATAAATCAGTGTATATTACAAAAATGTATGCTATCCTAAGAACATACACTCATATAATTCAAATCATAGAATTGTGAAAATAGGGAATTTGTCCCCTTCCTCAACAAAACAATGTGAGGAAAAATGGGTTACCATGCTGAGAAACACATACTGGTATAAGCACAAGAAAAAAATCTGAAAGCACCATCAACATTAGTTTTAAGTGGTATCACACTGATTGCACTGTATTGCAAATTCATTATTCCTCTGACGTGATGCAACTCAAAAAGAACCGATAGCTTCCAAGTACCTGTGCCAGCACAAATTTCCATAAATAGTCAGACATTGAAGGAAAAGGAAAAAACCTTGACAAGGACTAATATACCCTAGCCAAGCACTCAGTGGCAGGGCTTACAGCATTTCAAAAATCAATGAAGTGCTTAATCTTATTTTTTAGAGCTGTCTTTATTGTGATTATTCATTGACGTAGAACAGACTGGTTATATGAATATGCTTTCTCAAAATAATGCCAGTAATATCCAAAAAACAGTTTTTCAAACGTTTTCAATTATATACATACATGCATTATTGAGTAATTAAATACCAAGTTTTGAATGGACAAAACAAGCATTTATAGTATTCAAGATTTGTGAACATATATAATACCAGAATTGAAATATTTTGTGCAAATGTGCCAATGCGTCTTTCAGGTAATCATGAAAACTATTAAATATATTTGAGGGTATGTCTTGAAGTAGCATGGGGTAAAGCAGCAGCAATCAAATGACTATTTCTGTGCTCCATTATAACATAATTAATTGTGTGATCCCTTCTGGAGCCAAAGAAACTATAAAATTAAACTGAAAAGCTATGTAAACCACAGCTGTATGATACAATTCAAAGGCGTAACTAGTTTTCTTTTCCTTTTTTTTCAAAATGGGAACGTATTATCATTTTTGGGACATTTTTCTCAATATGCCATTTCATGTGCACATAACCACTGTTTTACAGTGTTGGTATCCTCCAACCAATGGAGGCAATGGGCAATTTGAATGCGGATGAATGGGGTGCTTTTTTTCCTTCATCCTTTGGCAAAACAAGCTTTCACAAGCACAAACGCTCCATCAACCTCACAGAGGCAATGGCATACAAACAGACAAACATGCACGCATGCTCACGTCCGCAGTCTATAATGGTTGGGACGTGCCTTATGATCAAGTTTCCCAGTGATCAATGACTTGGCTTGCCGTTCTGATCAAATTCATGGAAAGAATCCATCAATTCATTATTCTTCCCTCTTTGACCTTTCATACTGAGACCGTAACAAGAAATTTGAATAATGACAGTCTGTATTCTGTTTAGCTACTTATTCATATGGTCTTTGTAATGCAGAGGATGTGAAGATTCGGGTTAAAAAATACTTTGAAATCTAGACGTCAATTTGTCACGATTTTCATGTAAGGATATTGGATCAGGATAACAAAAAGGAGAGAGGGCTTCTTTTATTGTTCTGCAATTTTCAACTCTCTTGTCAATTTTGCTTTGACATGGCCAATATTCAGTTGCAATTTTTTTTTTTTTTTTTTTTTTTCATTTTGATTTACAGACCAATTCTACATGTATTTTTCAGCCCTTTTCTTTCTTCTGGCTGACAAACCAATCCCAGTTTGCAGTTATTTACTGCCCTGGCTTTAGGACCAATTCTATTTCACAGTCATTTCTCTTTAAATGGATAAGAACTCTTTGTATAAGATCCATATTTCACAACAAATACATTGTAACCAACTCACAGAAATATAAATTTATTTTACAACCAAAACGGTGGTTATCCCAATTATTCTAGAATCTGTGCTTGCTATTGGACCACCTGACCTCCAAAGACATTATTATAAAAAAACTTAAAAAGAAACATGGAATAACTATGAATGTCGAAACAGATTCATTAACCACAGGTAAGTATGGGAACATTGTCGTTTACTCCAAGAAAATCCATTTTTTGGCCAAAATGAACAGTTGTTAGCCTTTTATAATTAACTTCTGGCTTACAGACCAATTAACTTGACAATCACTAAAAACAATCTATTACCTGATATTGGTGAAACTGGTATTTCTTACACCAACTTCTTCGGCCACTGCATTCAGCAGATCATGTGCCTGGGCTTGGGTAAGACTAAAAGAGAAAATAAATATCAAAACATTAGTCACAGTGACCAATTTATGTTAAAATTTTTAAAAAAATATATAAACATAAATGTATGTATCCCTGTTAAAAAAAAACAGGTCATGTAAAGAATTTGACTGGAAATTAAAACATCTTATCAACGTATCTGGACCACCCACCATGCATCTTTTAAAAACAACTCTCATTACTCACATAAATACAACCAAAATATCCAGATTTTTGGGGAAAAAATCCTGATGACTTTTATCTCTAGTCATCCAAGTATGCAAATGCAAGTGGTTGAACTAGGATATTCTATTACACTGAGCAAAAATATAAACGCCCTACATGGGGCATTCATATTTTTGCATACAAAAGTAGGCAAAAGGCACCTCAATGTTGGGGAGCTCGGGAAGAGTGAAGTGACGTGGCATGTAACGTACCCCCCCTCCCTTCTAATATCATGCAGGACAATATCTGGCTGCTAGAATAATTCTTAGGCTATAGATTCACTTATCACCTCAAATAGGTGAAAATCAGAATTTCCTATGAGGATTCAAAGAATATGAAACCAAAGCAATTTCACAGCAGTAATAAGATGGCATTGTCAATTCCCTAGTGAGTATTTTTATGCTCGAGTACCTTCCTATTCACTTAGTCAGAGGGGCTGACAGATTAACATGCTGACGTGATTATATGGGGATGGACTATGACCATTTACTGCCCAAGCTCTTTGCTTTGCATGTGTGTGTGTTTGTGTGTGTGTGTGTGTGTGTGTGTGCGTGCGTGCGTGTGTGTACTCAGATATGGAAACTTCAAAGTAAGAAGTCTTTTCCAAAAAAAAAAAAAAAAAAAATCTTATCACTGCATTGTCATTATTCTCAACTTAAACAAAACCAATTTACAATAAGCCGGACTGACAGGATCGCCAAGTTTCAGTGACATTTCATTTATGTTCCACAGATAATATCCCACTCCGAGGTATTAATCTTCAAGCTTAATCGGTATCCTTAATCTCCGGTATTCAAACACCTGCAGAGATTCCAATCATTGTTCCGTGACTTGGCTTAAATCTTTTTTTTTTAATCTTTTTTTTCTTACTTACATGAAAAGGAGAATTGCATTCCTATGCATTACATTTCAAGCTCTTCCTCAACATCTTCAACAATATTTGTGATAATGTGTAATGTAGACTGATAAAGTTTGCACAAACACTCAAACACGTGCATATACATGCACAAACATACACAACACATGCACAAACATACACAACACTTGCACACGCACACACACACACACATGCTCGCATTACATTCACCACCTAAAGATCACCTTAATTAATAAAACTTTAATTTAGATGTTGATGTTTTAATTCACTCACGCATGATTGTAGTGAAATCGTTCCTTTCAGACTTTTCTGGTTCCATTCATCATGTCCAAAGGGCTATACATGTGTGAACAATGTTGTGTAAGTGGGTTGTAATGCATAATGGATGACTTCAATAACTTTGTCGTCTGAAAATGAAATGTCTGCCGAAGAAAAAACCCACTGTGAATATTCTTTTTTCTTTTCAATAAAGCATCAAGAAACCAGTGGAGCATGTACATTTTGTTCCCTAGCTTTTTGTTCTGCCCCTTGCTGTTAACCACAAGAAGTCGCCAATGAAAGTTAAATCAGAATATTTCTACATGGAAATGAATTATTAATATTGAAAGGAATAATGACAGGGAGAAAGGATTTTTTTTCTTTTTTCAAAAAAAAAAAAAAAAAAGGAAAAAATATTGCCTTCTTTGTACCAAGACTAATTCTACCTCTAGTATTGCATACTGTACTGGCTTGTAATATAAAGATATTTCACCACAAAATCTCTCTACAATAAAACCAAATAGCAACATGATCAGCTTTTAGACATTTCGATTTCTTAAAGGATTCTGGGTATAAAAACATCAAGCCAGCTGAAATGCCAACATTATATTTAATTTCCAACCCATATATTCAATTATGCCTTCTCGAACTGTAGCAAATTTACCTTTCCAAGTACAATTTTCATGTTGTATAAAATTCATGCAAGTAATATATTCCTTTTTTTTTCAATTTGCAAGGAGGATATGTAAAACCATCTGGGGAAAATGAATGTTGCAGTAAAAAAGGAAAAATTTGTGGTAATAACTAGACCTTTTGAATGGGCAAAAATGATCAAATTTTCAGATACATAATTTCATTCACATTAAAATTATATTTTTATATATCTCTTTATAGAATAGAACTATAGAGTAGCCTGCTTTTTCATTTTGTTGCTACCACTCACTAGGAATGTTCTAATTTTCAGAAATTATGACTTAAAAAGTACAGTGTCTTTAAAATTCTCAGTCCCCCCCCCCCCTTGAAAAGATCATAATACATGTAATACATAGGAAATTGAGCTGAGAGTAAGTGAAAGATCCACTTTAGGTAACAAGCACTTA